TACTGTTGGGGACATCATGATAGCCACTCCAGAACTCAGTGTGCTCGTGGTTGTTGTCTGGGTGACAATATTGGAGTAGATTATTGACTCTCCTCTCCAGTTGACAGTTTGGAGAGTCCGCTCCCATTCCATCTGCTTTCGCAAATCCCAAGCACTTCGATGTGATACCTCTTCATCTCCTTTGCAATTTGGGCTGCCTTGCTGGGTTCAAATATGGTGCGGACATCCCATGTCCCCACATTTACTTTCGCTTTCATCGAGAGGGAGGAGACATATCGGCCAATTGGCTTACCGAAGGCTTTCACCAACTGGCATCATTTCGCCTCTCCGATTCCAGCGAGGAATAATTTTGTTATTATTTTTTATATTTCGTTTGTGCTTTGAAGTTTGTTTAGCGGTTAGATTTGTTTTCCGGGGTAGGGTTGCTAGCCCTATGCCCAACCTTCCCTCTTTATTGGGGCTTAGGACGGGCTAGTAACTAGTGAACTAGTTAACCAGGCGAGGTTCAGGATTTTTAATATATTTCCTATTTTATTGTTATACACCCAGAGTAAATAAACATATGAATCTTATTTATTTTATGTGAATGATTACCTCAGTACTTGGTTTTATTGTGTTCTCTGACGAAATCTTCAGCTCAGAGAACAGAATTACCTCAGTACCTCATATACTCAAAGAATTTTTACTTCATGAAATATTAAGTATTGTACTAGTTTATCAGATGCTTACACTCTTACACGAGAAACAAAAGGTCAATTTAATTTGCCTTCAGTTACCTTCCACGTGTAATTACACCTCTGAGTCTATAGATTTCGAGTATTTATTCACTTGTTCATAGAACCAACAAAAATAACCACTTCAAAGTTTTTCATTCAAAAAAACGAAAACGGCAAAGATTTTGAATAATCCGGATCAACCATTTTATCCACATTAAATGACATAAAATGTTTAGGCTGATATGGATGCTGACAACTAACAAAGAAACGCGAAGGCAAACTCTATTCTCTTTCTATTGTTAATCAACTTTTAGGTTCTTTTTATCTTTACTAATATGCAAAACATTTTTCCAAGTTTCGGATTTTTCACGTCATCATTTGAAATAATGATTGAAAACAGAACTTTCGAGTGATCTAACTAAGCAGAAGTTCAACAAGAAGTTAAGAAAATGAAACAGTTTTTCTATCAGTTCGGTCATATCTTCAAGTCTGTAAAAATGTGTGCATTCCTTAATGGCAGATTATAGGGGCCTTTTGTTTTGATATGTACAAATAACTAGTTATTCTGCATCAGAGAAGTATTAGGATAATCTGCTTACATCTGTATTAATTTTATACAGCCTAAAATATTTGAATACTAACGCGTAGGTACAGCTCTGAAGGTTAGATCCACAGTTAGTCAATAATGTTAGGATAAGACTCACTTGTGCATAATTGATACTGATTGTAACGAAATTTACTGTAGTTAACTTTCCAATAAATAAACGCACTTGTTTTGCATTTTGTTACTATCTACTGATGTAATATTTTGGCCCACTTTGAGCATTCTTTTGAAGATGAAGTAGTATCCTGTTATTTGACTATAAAATATTTTCTTAGAACTATGAAAAGGCTAGCCAATCATGATTGTTCTGGAGGAAAAGGCATCTGCATCATACCATACAACTTAGTTAAATAGAATTACACAACTGTTCATTTGATTAAATGTCTAGTCTTCATTAAGAAAACTGATCATAACACTTCCATATTAGATTATTTATTTGACACAGCACACAATGATAAAATATTATCTGCTTGGTGATATTTCGAGCAGGATTCTACTGCTCGTATTTGCATCAAAATAGTCCTACGGCTTTTAAACTTACCCTATGTAGGCCGAAGGTTCTTCATTCTTTCATCCGAATGGTAGTTAAAGTTTTCCAGATATCTGAAATATGTGTTGGGTCATTCCTGTTACATGTGTAAGATGTTGATTCAACGAACAAAGATTCTGTAATCAGCCTCTCCCTCCATCTGGCTATACTACATTTTTAAGAATTGGCACGCAATCCCACCCCATAGTGTGATTATGGGTCAGTGCATGCAGAGTGATAGGTGAGTTTTTCTCTCGGTTACTTATCTTAGTGGGGTCTACCATTGCGTGTTAAGTTAAATTGTGTTCTGTTATTGACTGAAGCAGGTCGGTTGCTTTGATCTATTTACTTGACCTCACAATCATTACATGGTATTTGATGGATTATTTTTCCTAATTGGTTCTACTGGGTCTTTCAGCCTACAAAGTTTCTATCTGAGAGAGTTTGTGAGTTTAAATATCACCCTAATTCCAGCGTTGTTAGGAATTTTACGTAAACTTTTCGATATGCCTTCCTAATACGCCGACAACACAAATGATGTGAATTCCACCTTAGGCATATTGCAATCACTGCTAACATCACCACTCGTCTCATCAGTTCTTATATACTTTTTAATAAATTCCGAAGGGTATTTATTAAGAAGTAGTGTCTCCCATGTGTCTCATTTGCTTATTTAGGTTTTCTGACTTACTAGTCGTACTACTAGCCCAATTATCTAGAAAGTTTGTCAAAACTACCTCGATAGACATAAGGTGAGATGATATGAAATTGAGGTTTGAATGTCATATGATTACTTTTATATGAATATCAGAAATAAATTCCTTTCGAAACGTCATTCAGCAAGTTATGCTGTATCATTGTGTGCTATATCCATCAAATAAACAATCTAATATGGAATTATACTGTATAACAGTGCCCAAGTTTTCTTTTTATACTTATCAAAAAAAACAGAAGTAGAGTGAGATTATTGTGACTGTTAGTAATCGTAAGTGCTTAATGAAAATATGTTTACACTAGCAGTCATTTTATCCCGTGTCTGTCTTTCATTTACGAAACTGTGAGGAACATTTGTAGCTCAGATGATGATCTAGGTTTTGCTGTATCCTTTGAGCTGGGTGGTTCAATCAGTGTTTTTCGACGCTTAGCATTGTTCGAAGATGGGTGGAGTTCTCTATGAGGCAAGCTTCTACATGAGAACAACTATTCTCACAAACAAACAATGCAACCAGCTATATTTATGCTTACAAGCCAACCGGAATATGCAAAACAATAGGAAGAAGTAAAAATAATGCATACTTCTCTGAACCACTCAAAGTATATTTCAGGTTAATTATACACTTTTAAAAAAGGGATTATTGAGACGAATGGCAAGTGGATAAAACCTGTTCAACAAAAATTTAATTCAAAAGTATCGGGTCTGTCAAAAAGTGGTTTTATTGATCAGTGACAAGTTTCATAGGTATTCATTTACCAAGCATCATTTATAATAGCTAATCACTTCTAAATTCCTGATAAACCAATTATTTATTCTATGTGAACTTTGATCAAGATTTGGTCGAATAGCATTGCAAATATTAAGCGATGAGTAAAATGTTGACACAAGACATAATTTGTATTTGTGTAAGTCACAGTGTGTTTGAAATGAAATAGCTCAAACGTTTTACACGGAAGTCTAGTCAGAGCTTAGTCAGGGAAACAATCAAATAAGTGAATTTAAAGATATCTATTTATTCTCCTAATATAATCCTCTACGTAAAGTCACTGTCTTTCTAAAATATGATAATTATGAATTAGTCATCATATTTTAGAAGAATCGACTTCACGAAAAGGAACAGATTAGGAGATTAAATAAACGTCTTTGGATTTAATTATTTTGATTACTTCCCTAAACGAGCTCAGACCAGACTTCCGTATGAAACGCTGAAATTATTTTATTTCAAACACGCTGTGACTTACACAAATCCAAACCATATCTAATGTTAATTACATATTCTGTTATCTGTTTTCAAACTAGTTGGATGACAGAAATCTATGAAGTTCGTGGAACTTTTAGCTTACAATTATTATGTATTATGGAAGTTTATTTCTTAATAACTAGTGAAAGCTTTCAAACTGATATAAAATTCTAAGAAAAAAACTTTGAAACTGAATAATAGGATGACCACTAAATGTTTTTTGATCGAAATTCTTTGAAAAAGTAGATGAAGGAGTAGGTCGTATTCATGATTTACTGATATAAGTTAAGGAACCACTAAAATCCTGGGTGTAATGAACAACTTTTGAGTCTCAGTGTCGTAACGCATTCTCTCCGAGACTAGACGGTCCACCAGTCGGTTTCTCATGAGACTGCGAGCAGGCATAGCTGTATCGCATACGAGAACGGAATAGATGTCCAGTGATTCCAGTTTTCAGTTGTCATGCAATGATACGCGTTTATAATGATAACTGCTATGATATCAGTCGGGCCCCATAAACCCCTAAGTTGAGTTACCTACTTAGTTAGAATTTTTGTTGTCATATAAGCGACAAAGGGAAGTATAATTTGCATTAGACCTACTATCAAAATTAAAGAATATTACCTGTGGGATTTTTTTGTTCACTATTCATTTTCCATAATAAGTTTTATGTTCGGACGTTTTTCAGACAGCCAATTCACTTTACATAAAGTTCGATAAGCGTTTTACAAATAGCTATTTTCACTTGGTGATGATCGAAGGTGAAATGAAAAACCACGTCACGGTAGGGTTTAAACCAGCGCCCTCAGGGTTCATGGCCTGGATTAAGCTACTAAGCTACTCAGTAGTTCAGCTGGTACAATTTCCTGAACCACGTTATCTAAGATGGTGACACTGATAAATATATGTTTACAGGTAACAGCGACAACCATCTGGAGAAACCATAAGAATTTCGCTGTTAAGCTAAAAATAATACTGTGAAATAATGTAATCAATACTGTAAGTCAGTTTGTACCCGGAAATTTCAAATTTAACTTGTACTACTTAAATCCTTTCTAGATTACACAACATGTTACCGAATTAATAGTCTCTGCTTAGGAGTTTTAAGCCGTAGTAATTTGATAATACAAGTTATTTACGTAATTCATATTCTGCTTCTTATTTTCACATTTTTTGAATTTATTTTGTGGAGTTAGTTTCGTTGACGCCATCGGACCAGGAAGAGAAACTTCTATGGACAAATATGGAAGCTCAGAGAACACTGAATGGCTATCACTTTAACTTTGAACTATAAATTTTTTTTATCTTGTAAATGCTTAATTTACTTTCCTTTTTTTCATGAGGATCTCATGTGATGATATCTTAGGATCCTACTTTTGGTATCTCAGATTTGATAAGCAATATTTCTTTAAGGTTACTTTGAATTATTACTATTTCTTTGAATTCCTGTAATATGCGGTTTACTTATGCTTCGAGTGAACAAAATTTGGTTAAGCAGTAGTTTTTCAGTGGGTTGAGATATTTGAAAAAAGACCCAAGGAGTAACTGATTCATTCATTTATGGAAGGTAAGTATTGCAAACCATAATATTTTCAACTTATATTTGCAGAGAACTATCGTTAGAGAAGATACGTTGAATTGTTTTTCTTTTCTTATTTTTGACCCGGATAATAACTTTCAAACTGTTGAAAAAGGCTAGAATAACCTTACAAATTGCTTTTCTGTGTTGAGGTTAAGTAGGATAAAATGTTATGGTCATTGTAAATATGGAGTGGTTTCTAAGAAACCATCAAAATAATAACAGCAGAAAGCTTGTTGTGCTCGTCAATATCTTCAAAATACAGATTATCTTTTGTTTTATTACTAAATTACAGTCATATTATTATGTCACAGTATTATCACAATTCATAAATGGAGAATGTAAGGTGTAAACAGTATGATGAATGATAGAGCGAATGAGACTATTCGAAGCACTGAATGAAATATACCATAGAATCAGCTATGCAGTAAACTCACTTATTTTCAACAGTGCAACAGAATGCTTCAGAAAGTAGGTTCAATGTTGTCAAATTTAGGTCTATATCCTTGATAATCAATATCAGAATCTATTAAGTAATCCCTTTTAAAAAGCGCTCTAGAAAGTCCAAGAACAATATAAGTAATAATTAATGTATTTGCTTTATTCCAAGCCATAATTTTTTGCCGTACAGAAGTCTCAGCACGTAATATTGGGGAAATTTACACGTTAGAAAACATTTTCCAAACATATTGTGACAGTGGTTTACAATATATTATAAGTCATGATGAAAACTGTTTGCTACTACAAAGTCGACTAGTAAGACCATTTCCCAAGTGATTTTCTTCGCGCAGTACACACGCCAAATAAGGTAAAGTTGTGGTTTTATATTTAGTCCTGAGTGCATGAGGTTTAACGAATTCACTTCTCGTCTTCCCCGAGGAAAAACATGGAGTGAGGTGAAGACGCTGAGGATGCTTGTCATCTGATGAAATATTTGTAGCCAGCTGCCTATAAGAATTCGGTTGCCTATCCACAAGCGAATTTATCAGTACTGTGAATGGTATGCCAATCGCTCTGTTTACAGATTTCACAATTTTACGCCACAGAGTGTAATCTTTCTACAGAAGTTTAGGGAAGACTAAGAAAGAACCATAGTAAATACAAGCAAAACAGAGACTATCAAACTTAAGAGTAAAGACTGGATTACGCTAGAGAGTCTAGGGTTTCTTGTACAAAAAAACAAGTGAAGAATTTCCTCGGAGTCCGTAAACTTTTAGCTAACCAAGGAAGATTAAGAGAAAAGCATAAGCTGAGATGGATCTCACTTGATACGTTCTCTGCTACATAGTCATATGTAAGACAAGATTTATAGAACTGAAGCATTTCATACTGATCTTGTTCCCACCTTAAGCTTAAATTAACCACCTGATATTTTGCAGGGCTTGGATGTTATGCCGTTCAACGAAGACTAGTCACCTAATTCCTCTAAAAAACGTATTAAACTGAGAGCAGCTTGAAAAATCAACGATCTGCACGGATAGGCATAAACCGTTTGATTAACTAATTTAGTTTTAGCTGAGGTAATTTATCCAGAAAAAGAAGAGAAAAAGGAGAAAGAACGGCATCCTGAAGCCCACCAGCCTCGCTAACCAGCAAAGTTGAAGGCTAACCTCCGAATAAACTGTATTACATTCACTTAGAAAAATAAGAATGAACTCAGTCTGCGATCTAGAACTAAGTGTGCTTTCTAGCAAGCCTGTTAAGTAAAAGGGGCCCAAGGATAGTGGCCAGTTCCTGCAACCAACAAAGCACAAAAAGCCGGATTTACAAAATCTAAAATCACTACAGAATGCTGGCAATGAACTACATTACTATTTACTGACATACTTGTTATTCTCCCTTGTTTTGTTGGATCGAATTGTTAGACCTCTATTGGCATATGGGCTCCTATGTGGATACTTCGATATTGGCTGAATGTTAATTATAATATGTTGGTTAGTTATGGTTAGCAGAAGAATCCAGGACGCGCGTCTCGTCCTATTTGGGACTCGTCAGCTGGATGTACCTGCTCCCCAGTGATTTTGTTTCCGCTGGGGCTCGAACCTCATGCCCTTCTCTTTAAACGCCAAGGCGTTATCCACTATGCCACGGAGGAACAGAAGCCACTTATTGTACAACGGGTAGTAGTTATTACTATTTATTTACATACTGGTTATTCTCTGTTATTTTGTTGGATCGAATTGTTCGACCTCTAGAATAACAAGTATGTCAATGAATAGGACGAGACGCGCATCCTGGATTCTTCTGCTAGCCACAACTAACTAATTTATCATAATGAACTACATGTTATAAGGGCTGCGATTTTCGAGGATTTGACAGTGTGTCTGGATAATGCAGAGCAGCTGCAACTAGGTATCACATGAACAGTGAAAGCGTAAACAAAGTCATAAGTATTCAAATGCTTACACTAATATTAATGTAAATAGTAGAGCATAGAAGATGTAGTAGGTTGACCGCTTGATACCGTAAAGATCAGCAGTTTAAGCAAAGTTTTTTGTATAGTTTCATTTAATGTAGTTTTGTCTTGTTTAAAGAGCTCAGTTATCCAGTACGAAGTTTTTCTTTCGAACATTTGCTGAATTCAAAGTGATTCGTTAACGACGTTCTGAGAACTCGCCTTAGAGTTAAGGACATAATTGTGAAATTAAAACAAGGTAAAACAGAGTAAACCTGATGTTATTTATAAGATGGAAGAATTTTATAGCTAAAGATTTAAGTCAAGATTTACATACACCTTCTTTTAACAATAATAGTAATAATAATAACAGTGATGCTAATGGTTATATTCTGAAAGATATTTCTGGAATGCCGAACAGCATATCATGTCATGTCATGTCATGTCAACATGTCATGTAGCATCAGTTGGGAAGAAATAGTATAGTTGTACGCGTGAAAAATGAAATAAGTACCAGTTCCATATAAACGATAAGAATATTTACTCCATCTACAACTTTCTTGAAGATGCTGAGCTGACCTGGATAAAGAACCACATTAACAGTTGGATTTATAATACATAAATAACAGCAAACAGTGTATTCTTTAATTCGCTTGCTTTCAAAGACAAAAGTTGATTACTCAGTTTATTTCTACTACTTTATCCATCCCACGGGAGACGAACTAAATACGGTTTTGTAGACTTTTATATTTAGTAGTACGTGCATAAAGTCTTACATACTTGTTCCCGAAATTTACTGATGACCAACACTCAGAAAGCTTTGAGTGAAGAGGATCCTTGTCATCCGATGAAACAATTCCTGCTAGATCTGCACATGGGTTAGGATATTTGTCTGCAACAGTTTTAACTATAAGATTTTGAAGCATTCCGCTAGTTCTGCTGATAATCTTCTAAGTTCCACACAGTGTAGGATAGTCTTCAGCAACTAGGGAAAGAACAAAGGTTAGAAACAGCGGGGAATATGCAAGTTGCAGGAGTTTACAAAACACGAAAGAAAGTGGCTTATACCAAAAACTCTCAGCTTTCCAATACAGAAAGTTAAGTGGAAAATTCTTTCGGAAAATTAGTACGATATGGGTTGATCAGGAAATTTAGAATAAAAATACACGCCAAGATAAATCACACTTATTACACTCTTTCATATACAACCATCAGTAGAAAAGGAGTCATGAGACCCAAGCAGTTTACACAGCTTATGTTCACGTCTGAAACTAAAGTTTACAGTCTGACATTTTAAAGAATTAGGCACATAGCCTAGCAAATCCTTTCTTAGACATCAAATTTTCTCGAGTTTTTCTTGCCAGATCTCAGGTAATCTCTTGTGCTTTCTTGTCGTTGATAACCACTTTACCGTAAAATTCAAATGGTAAGTTAAGGCATTTATAACATTATAAAGACTTTTGTAATTTGTTAAACATCACTGTAATCAGAAATCTGTGTTTAATACATTTAATCTTGTCTCCTCACGTAATAATTTGTGCAAAATATTTACGCATTTCTCATAACTGCACCATGGTGTAAGTGGCTTAGGTACACAAGTAATTGCAGCTTGCATCTAGTGTTTTTAAGACTGAACGATAATATTCCAGTCATCCCAAGTAAAGCTAGTAAAACTTCATAAACAGCTAATGGAAACTGTGTAACTTCCTTTATTCACGAAGACTATTTCATACAGTTAATAGGTGAACACTAAATTACATCATCTAGTAGCTGTTTGATATAAAGTTAATTTATGGAGTCTCTACCCTAATTTTTACAGTAAGTAGAACTACTGAGTAGTTTCCAAACCACTGTTGGTTAAATTTTATAGTAACATAGTAGAATAATTATTCTAGAACCCTAAAAACATGGAAATAATACAACAAGAAAGCTCAGAAACTGTAAGGGAATTTATAAAAGCACGGTACTCTATCAGTTGGCAATCAACAAACGCGAATATCGATTGATCTAAAATAGTGACCTCGAGAAAGATATCAGACAACTGGAAATCGACCGTGTAAATCACTGTTTAGATGTGTCAACGGGATAGATCAAATGAGAAAAAAAATTATAAAAGTAAAACTCTTAAAGAAAATATGAAAGGATCATCCCAACCCACAAGCTGTTAGTGCTCAAGATATCCCTCATAAACATTTATGCCCCTTTATTAAAGTGCCTCACCTCATTATGAAGTGGATGTTGATGAAGTCACTTAGTTTGGTGACAAAAAAAACCTAAGAACAGACCTCAAAACTCAGAGAACAACAAATGGTTATGACTCTGAAAACTTACATGTGAATAAATCACATTCGTGTAGTGACTTCATAAACATTTTCAAACTATCCAGGAATCGCTGATAGTGGTTGTCATTTTTCAGAAAATTCAGTGGTTCTAGGTAGGATTAAACCTATAATAATTTACATAAGTGAAAATACTGCTAATACATATCTAAGTATGTTGGATCGGCATACTTTATCACATGATGTAGAGCAGGATCAAAATATATATAATACTGAGTGTTAAGATATTAGTGCGGATAAGAAAGTAATAGACGTTTGATGTTTCCTACGATTAATATACATGTGGGAAGAAGCTAAGTATGGAGAACCATTTGATCGGTTGATGGCTAGTTCCACCTACTTAAATTCGGGTCACATTTATTGTTCTCGAGAAAAAGCTAATTAATACTGTCTTTCGTCAGCATGATTACTAAAATTTAAATAATGTGCAACTCATCACGTCAGATACACTCTGATAACAATGACAACAATTCATTTCGTGTT